AGGGGGGGATAGAGTGAGACTTCAGAGCGGAATCGACTCCACCAGACGCGAGTCGGAGTGGAATGTAAGGCACAATTTTATTTCGCTTCATTTCGAGTTCCCGGGAGAGGGTTACACCGTACAGTACACGTCCTGACCTCCTGGTCCCGTGACCACACGCGTACGTCACAGAGTCCCCGTGACGCGCCACGTGGCCCGCGCGTCCAATCGACGCTCTTCACAAGGCCACATGGCGGACAAATGAAACCGTTGCGAGCGTAGCGGTGTCTAGCGACTGCACGGATCACGTGAACCCCAAGTGCTGCACCCACTGCACATTACAAGACTCCAAAGAGGACAACAAAAACCCCACCGTCTTGTCACCAAGTTGTTGTCTTCATATAATTTCTCGCGACACGATATCAACGTCGTTCGCGATATTACGATTACCGTAATTGCATTTCACATTTTGATGGTGGAATCGTAAGGGAGTGGGGGGGGACGGTGGAGGCGGGAGGGGGTGGCAGAGGTTTCGCGGTTCGAATAGAGAAGACGGCCCTGGTAAACAACTACTCCGCAACCATCTGCTTCACTCACACGCGGACGTTAAAGGCCCAACATCCACCCCGCCCCCAACGTCACTCGAACCCAAGGAGGCCACTGTAGTCTACTGACCATCACCGCCCTAATGTCCCCCGACTCACTTGGGATGACATCACGAGCAGAGATCATCGCCCCCACACCTCCGACTGGCAGAGCAAGGCCCGCTCGCAGGCCACGTGCTGAGCCTTAGAAAAAAACTAAACGATTAACTATTTATATTATTGGTTCTTTCGGTAAAGTCACGTAGAAGGGAAACAATAAAATAATAAAATAATATAAAACAATAACATTCTCACGACGTTTCGACTGCAACACCTGATGATGATTGCTTGTGTTGCAGTCGAAACGTCGTGAGAATTTGATTGTTTTATATTTTTTATTATTGTATTGTTTCCCTTCTACGTGGTGACTTTACCGAAAGAACCAAGAATATGAATCCCTGCAGTCACGAAAGCTTTAAATAAAAAAAGATGAACTATTTGTTTTTGTATTTGACCAAGGTAAGCGCCCACTGAGCTATGACGTAGTTATTTTTCAGAAGCGACCTGCCTATCACAAATGATAACTCAACGAAGTGGCTTATCGTGTGGACATTCATAGCAGCCAAATACTCTGAAACGCACTTTGAGTCGACGTGTGGAGGGGGGGGGACGGAGGACCCGGAGAAAAATCCACGCGACCACATGGAGAGAGACAAAATACAGCAGGCGCCAGGCGGGGGTGGGGGGTGTGGGGGAGTGATGTGGGGGGGGGGGCGTGGTGGGGGTGTGGGGGGGGGTGATGTGGGGGGGTGATGTGGGGGGGGGCGTGGGGGTGATGTGGGGGGGGCGTGGTGGGGGTGTGGGGGGGTGATGTGGGGGTGATGTGGGGGTGGTGTGGGGGGGTGTGGGGGGGGGGGGCGTGGGGGTGATGTGGGGGGGGGCGTGGTGGGGGTGTGGGGGGTGATGTGGGGGTGGTGTGGGGGGGTGTGGGGGGGTGTAAAGCGCAGCCCGACGACGACGAGGAGGAGGAGGGGGGTACCACGAGTCACACCACCTTCATGAGAACGCCCGCCGCACGAGACGCTGGCATGGACAAGAGTCGCCGCCATCGCCGTCTTTGTGCTCTGCTGCGATTCCAGTGCGGGGGAGCGCGGCGGCAAAACCCTTCGCTTTGGTGCGCAACAACAACAACCACCAACAACAACAACCACCAACAACAACAACAACTCGATCCCCCTCCATGTCAATAACATGGCGACCTTAACAAAAAACATGAGGCGACGTTTCAGGCAATGGGCCCTTCTTCACAGCACATATAACTCTTCTACCTCTCTAGCCCCTCAATGTGCTATGAAGAAGGGCCATTGCCCGAAACGTCGCCTCATGTAATTTGCATTTTTTATTGTAAATGCCACAGTGTTATTTACGAAGGTGTTGAGTTTTCCAGGAAATAAATATATATTCTTCACTTTGTCTTCGTATCCCTTGCAAATAACCGAACATTGAATACCCCCCAACCTTCACCAACGTGCGTTGGAATAAATTATAGAATGGCGTTGGCCAAAACATCGCAATGTAGGACTACAGAGCTTGGGAAATTATCGGCGCCGGTTCTGGCTGCCTTCCCGCTCGTCCGAGATTTCCACACGCCTCTGAATCATTCTCTACGAATGATTCTCCGTGAATCAATCTCTCTCTCTCTCTCTATGAATCATTCGAGAGAGTGAACGTAAAAACTTCGCGTGACGAAGTCTAAATCATTACTGACCCGAGTGTTGAAGTATGGTCAAACACTTCACCTCCCCCCCCACCCTCACGGCCGACACGCCGAAGCGTTGCCTTAATCTCAACACCAACCCCGCGTGTCTTCCCGTTAACTTCACAACACCATAGACAACACCAATCACCATCCTCGTCCCGAGTGAATCATTACTACTGGGGGGCGGGCGGGCGGGCGGGCGGGCGGGGCGAGGAGCGGTGGCGCAGTGGTTAGCGCACCTCGCACATGAACCCTGCGACCCGACATCGACTCCCCCGTCAGGGCAGTAACAATCCGCACTTTTACCAAGCGAGGTGAAGTATGGTCAGAGAAAACCTCGACGACCGTACCTCAAGAGCGCTGCAAATTATAACCGGGAGAGAGAGAAAAAAAATACAATTACATTTTTACAGACTTTAGTTTTTTTTTTAAACGTCTTTTAAAGTATTCACAATAAATACTTCATAAATAGCAGGGGACTAGCCACGAGTAACTCCAAGGAGGAAACTCGGTGACTGCTGAGCGGCTGCAGGGCACTGAGACCAACACAGAGGCACCGAGGCTTTTGGCAAATGGATGTACAGGTGTGTGTGTGTCTCCGTGTGTGCGCGTCTCTGTGTCTCTGTGTGTGCGTGTCTCCGTGTGTGCGCGTCTCTGTGTGTGTGCGTGTCTCTGTGTGCGTCTCTCTGTGTGCGTGTCTCTCTGTGTGCGTGTCTCTGTGTGTGCGTGTCTCTGTGTGTACGTCTCTGTGTGTGCATGTCTCTGTGTGCACGCGTGTATGTGTCTCTGTGTGTGCGTGTCTCTGTGTGCGTCTCCTTGTGTGCGTGTCTCTCTGTGTGTGCGTGTCCCTCTGTGTGTACATCTCTGTGTGTGCGTGTCTCTGTGTGCGTGCGTGTATGTGTGTGTACGTCTCTGTGTGTGCGTGTCTCTCTGTGTGTGCGCGTGTCTGTGTGTGTCTCTGTGTGCGTCTCTGTGTGTCTGTGTGTGTCTCTGTGTGTGCGCATCTCTGTGTGTGCGCGTGTGGGGAGCGGCAATGTGTGGTGGTTCACGCACTGCGCTATGCATCCCGGTGACCCGAATTCGATTTCCCGGTCACAGCCACCAATACCGGTGACGATTATCTGAACCGGTCCTGGGCGTCCCCTTCGTTGCCTCAAAATGAGCACCTGGTACGGTGTGTAAACATCGCCACTGGGGAGACAAAGGCGGTCGGGCGTGGTGCTGGCCACCCACCCCCTCGTGTACCGTTCCGGCCTTCATAGGTGCTCGCTAACAGCACTTGCCCCTACAGTCTGTTAAGGCTATACGGGGGATCTTTGTCTTTGTCTTTGTCTGTCTTGCGTGTCTTTGCTGTCTGTGTGGGAAGCGGTAATGTAGTGGTGAGCGCACTACACTTCAAGCCCAGCGAACCGAGTTCGATTCCCGCTCGCTTGCAACACTAGCGGTGGATACCCGGTGCGGTGTGTAAACATTCGCAATGGGGAGTCTAAGGCACTGGTCCCTTCACAGCAGCACTTGCTCTAAGAGCCTGAAAAGGCTATCGGCGGATCTTTGCCTTTATTCGTGTCGACCTATGTCTGTGTCTGCGTGCATGTGAGAGTAGCGGGCGACTGAAATGCAACAGGTTGGCACAGCAGGGGGCACAGCTGGTGCATCTCTGCCAGTCATCTCAGTCACAGTCAACCCACGGCACCTGGGTCTGTCCCGTGACCTCAAGTCAGCAGCGAGGGCCTTGCACGCTTCACGTGACAGCCTCAAAGTGCACTTAGCCTGGCACAGGCCACAGGCACCGCGCTGGCGACGCCACCGCCGATTTTTCTCACCGTGCAAAATATCACTCCGGTCTGGACCTCTCCTAGGTCGACTCAGCCTATACAGCAAGATGATAGCATCGGCACGGACACTCCCAGACATCTACAGGCGCTCCCCCCCCCATTGTGGATATAGAGGAGGTCTAATCGCGGTGTCTTCACAAGGAGTTCCGTGGCGTCATCTTGACACAAGGTGGTGCACTGCTCCCTGCGCCTTCTTCTCGTGTCACAGCGACCTTCGTTCGACGAGGCGGCCGGGCTCTCGGCGCACCCCGGTGTCCAGGCAGACAGAGACGCAGAGACGCGGAGACACGGAGAGACACGGAGAGACGGAGAGATGAAGAGACAGAGAGACAGACAGACAAGAGACAGAGACACAAAGAGGCAGAGAGACGGAGAGACAGAGAGGTGGAAGGATGGAAAGATGGAGAGACGGAGAGATGGAGAGACGGAGAGACGGAGAGACGGAGAGATGGAGAGACGGAGAGACAGAGAGACGGAGAGACAGAGAGACGGAGAGATGAAGAGACACAGAGACAGACAGACAAGAGACAGAGACACAAAGAGGCAGAGAGACGGAGAGACAGAGAGGTTGAAGGATGGAAAGATGGAGAGACAGAAACATGGAGAGACAGAGAGACGGAGAGACAGAGAGACGGAGAGATGGACAGACAAGGAGAGATGGACAGACAAGGAGAGACAGAGACAGACGAGAAACAGAGAGACAAAGAGACAGAGAGATGGAGACAGAGACAGACAATAAACAGAGAGATGGAGAGATGGAGAGATGGAGAGACGGAGAGACAGAGAGACAGAAGAGACGGAGAGACAGAGAGACAGAGAGACAGAGAGACAGAGAGACAGAAAGACAGAGAGACAGAGAGACGGAGAGACAGAGAGACAGAAAAGACAGAAGAGACAGAGAGACAGAGAGACAGAAGAGAGGATCATCTCCCCTGTCCTGCCGCACCCGCTCGGCAAAGGAGGTTCCTGCGGAAAATAAAGCACCGTGGCAAAGACTGAAAACTGGACGGCCAAGTAAACGTCCCAGAGTCACCGGGCGAGGACGGCGCGGTGGCCGGGTGGACGGATTTTGCGACGCCGTGGACCTGCCGTTTTGTTCGGTCGCGATCGTTCGGTTCCATCAGTCCGCAGCTCCTCCACCGTCGCAGAAAAGACGAGCGAAGACACGGCGAGGGGAGTGGTGGGGTGGACGGGAGGAGGGGGCGGGGGAGGGAGGAAGAGGAGAAAGAGGGAAGCGTGAAGAGGATGGCCGAGCGTGGGTGAGCCGTAACGAGGATGGGTCGATGATGAATGGGCGGAACAGTGGGCCACCCTCGTCACCGTCGTCACCGTCGTCACAGGTCGATTCTCTTGGCCTTGCCGAAGACGAGGAAGAAGGACAGGCCGAAGATGTTGACGGCCGTCAGGTAGTTGAACACCGACGTCCAGGAGCCCGTGGTCTGCACCAAGTACCCTGCCACGTACACCCCGAAGAAGCCTGGGCGAGCGACGCGGACGGGAGGTGTCCGTGCGGCACAAACACCAAACAGACACGACGATTGTTGCAAGGCGTCAAGTCTGCGTTAGCCACGCGTCGCTTGTGGCGCAAAACGTGCGGGGAAAAAACGTGCTCCGATAATCATCATCATAATAATAATAATACGTGCACTGTCTGTGAATCTGATTGGCCTAGACCAGAGGCAGCCTTCTTGATGGCCCTGTCTCACCGCCAGTGTTAGACCAGAGAACGCCAACAAGCGAAGGGTACAAGGGCGATGCAGTTACATCCGTGGGACCTTTTTGCCAGTATTAAAATGATGAAACAATAAGAATGGACTTCACCCTCTCCGGCACTAAAACAGGCGTTAAGATGTTCCAACACCAAATAGACACACACCTGTTATCGCAAGGCATCAGGTCTGCATTAGCCACACGTGCTTGTGGCGAAACACACAAACAACACGCTCCGATAATAATGTCTGCATTGTCCTTGAAACCCATGGGCCGACAGAATGGCCTTGTCTCACCGCCGGTGTTAGTCCAGAGAACACCGGCAACAAGAGAACACTACAGAGGGAATGCAGGTATCTAAATATTAATGCCTCGGGTTGATCCTGGCAAAAAGGTCCAATGCATACGGGCGCACAACACGGTGATCCGGTGACAGACACCCCACTCAAATGTGGTGGGGGGGGGGGGGGGGTGGACGGGATGCCTAAACATATCAGTGGGGGGGGGGGGGGGCGGCATTAGGAGAGTGAGAGGCTCGTGACTGGACGGGGAGAGAGTTCACATCCTGGTTGGATGGGGTTTACTAAGTCTACCATCATCCATCCATCTTCCAACCCTTCTGGGTCGTTAAAACGATTACCACTTTGTGCGTGAAGTCAACAGTGGTCGTTGTACCATCGGGAGACTCGCCCCATCCTCCAGCCCTCCCCCGCCCCCCGCCCCCCCCCCCCGGCCATAGGAATGTGGAGTCACGGTAAAGGAGGGGGCCGGATGCGGACAAGCGGTTTAAACCGAGCGAGCCAAATCCGCGGCGGCGTCTTTTTGCCCAACGTGCTTGCCGGCGGCGTCCCGCGGCACACGCCGGTAAATACCGCTCGCTCACCGACGCGGCATTTACCGGGGCGCCCCAAAACCGCGAGCCTCTCTGCATGTACTTTCAACTTCTTTGGCACCCTACGTAGCCGACCGTGCCAATCGGAAGGTACGGGAAGGGGAACAACAAACACTAATTCATAATAAAGGTTTTTGGGTTAGATCGCGTTTATTTATAAGTTTGAGTACGACGTTTCGCTGGTAAATACCAGCGAAACGTCGTACTCAAACTGTAAATGTGGATTCACTCTCAAACACACCGGTGGGCTAAAGTAGTGAATTATTTGTCTTTTGTCAACGTGACACTTTTTTTGCTGATTGGCCGTGTCGGGTGGTGGAGGGTTACGACACATTTATAAATAAACGCGATCTAACCCAAAAACCTTTATTATGAATAATATTGGTCGCGAAAGCCTACGTGTTAAACTAACAAACACTAAATACACCAACAGGCAGCTCGAGAGAAATGAGTTTTCAACGTCACGGCCGCGGGTGTCTAACTCAGCCGGGCGACGTCCGGGGCGTGCCCCCGCGCCTTAGTCTGGGACTCACCCGGCAATGCGCCCGCAGTGTTCATGATTCCTGCGGGAGACATCGAGCGCGGAGTCACGAGCGTTGAGCAGCCGAAGAAACGCAACTCCCACGAAACCGTGGCCGCGCACGAGAATGATTAGTGATTTTTTTTTATTTTTCGATTTAAAGCTTTCGTGACTGCAAGGATTCATCTTCTTTGGTTCTTTCGGTAAAGTCACCACGTAGAATGAGAATAAAATAATAAATTGATAAAATAAAATAACACGATAATATTCTCACGACGTTTCGGCCACAACACAAGCGGCCTTCATCAGGTGAAGGGACGAGACTGTCTGGTAGGACAGCGCTGGAGTGATCTTAAGGATGTGTGGAATCTCTCCCCGTAGAGGCGGTTAAATTTCGATTTAAAGCTTTCGTGACTGCAATGATTCATCTTCTCCAGCACTGTCCTACCAGACAGTCTCGCCCCCTTCACCTGATGAAGGCCGCTTGTGCTGTGGCCGAAACGTCGTGAGAATATTATTGTGTTATTTTATTTTATCAATTTATTTTTTTTATTTTCCAAACGGAGAACCCTCCGTGTGAGCCGGGGCGTCTCTAGAGACGGCGCTTTGCATCTCGAATCTCGGCTCGACGAGATGCCTGTGTGGCGCAATCTAGCTCAGCACATGGACTGCAGGCGGGCATCAGTCTGCGGGCATCAGTCTGCCAGTAGGAGTGGGGGGGGCGTGGGGCCAATGATTTCTACTGCTGCGTGTGATCCCAATTGAGTTATATGCGGTGTCATTCTCAGATTTTTTCGCAAATATATTTATTATTAAAATGTTAATCGTGCTTCATGGTTTTAAGTGCAATTAACTTTTTTTTTAACTAGCCTTATTTGCATCGTACCGTCTTAATTGATCGTTAAATGTGGTTGACCTTTTTTGTGAAATTGAATTATTTTAAACTATATATATGTTGTGATGTTTGACCACACCCGATGCAGCCCAGGTCTCAGCCAATGAGTTAGGTTAAATAAATCAAACTATAACATCATCCACAACAACAGCATTGAATAATAAACGCCACATGTCCAGCCTACACCTAGCCAGCCTTGGAACATGTCACCCATCCAGATACTAACCAGGCTCAAAGCTGCTTAGCATCTGAGATTTTGGCAATATGTATACACGGTTTATTACATACGTGTATAGCTATATATGTGTGTGTGTATATAAAGCTAGAAATTTGTGTGCGTGTATATAGCTATACAGTGAAACCTTGGATTGCCAGTAACTTGGTCTGCGACTTTTTTGCAAGACGAGATAAATAAATAAATATTGATTTGATAATCGAGCGAGGTCTTGCAATACGAGCAGTACGTGTACAGTATACGCTTTATCTGCCGAGTGTCACGTGATCACAACTGAGCCAATGGTTCTTCTCTCTCTCTCGCTGCGGGATTGTGGGTAATCGCTTTGTCTGCCGAGCGTCACGTGATCACAACTGAGCCAATGGTTCTTCTCTCTCTCTCTGCGGGATTGTGGGTAATCGCTTTGTCTGCCGAGTGTCACGTGATCACAACTGAGCCAATGGTTCTTCTCTCTCGCTGCGGGATTGTGGGTAATCATCCCCCATGCTCGGTCTCAGTCGGCGTGCCTCACTCGTATAGTCAACATCCGTGCAAGCGTATACTGTTTACTATAGTACTATAGTGTTGTGACCACGTGTATACTGTTTACTATAGTACTATAGTGTTGTGACCACGTGTATACTGTTTACTATAGTACTATAGTGTTGTGACCACGTGTATACTGTTTACTATAGTACTATAGTGTTGTGACCACGTGTATACTGTTTACTATAGTACTATAGTGTTGTGACCACGTGTATACTGTTTACTAAGGTACTATAGTGTTGTGACCACGTGTATACTGTTTACTATAGTACTATAGTGTTGTGACCACGTGTATACTGTTTACTACAGTACTATAGTGCTGTGACCACGTGTATACTGTTTACTACAGTACTATAGTGTTGTGACCACGTGTATACTGTTTACTATAGTGTTGTGACCACGTGTATACTGTTTACTACAGTACTATAGTGTTGTGACGTGTATATTGTTTACCACAGTACTATAGTGTTGTGACCACGTGTATACTGTTTATTACAGTACTATAGTGTTGTGACCACGTGTATACTGTTTACTACAGTACTATAGTGTTGTGACCACGTGTATACTGTTTACTACAGTACTATAGTGTTGTGACCACGTGTATACTGTTTACTATAGTGCTATAGTGTTGTGACCACGTGTATACTGTTTACTATAGTACTATAGTGTTGTGACCACGTGTGTGTGCGTAAAGCATGTTTTTTTATTTTGTGTCCAAGTGTAGTGACTGTTTCTTAGTAACTGTACTGCAAGTGAAAGTCGTTCTACACAATAACCCTCCTCTCCTATCTCTCGTCTCCCTCACACCAGCCACGATTAAATGTAATTAATACATTTGATTACTTTATATTAAATTTAAATAATAAAAATATTAAAAGTCATTTTGTATTAATCATTTTTATATGAATACAGTATTTTTGGGTTGTGGAACGAATCATCTGAGTTGCCATTATTTCTTATTCTTTGATATACGAGTGCTTTGGATTACGAGCACGTTTCCGGAACGAATTATGCTCGCAATCCAAGGTTTCACTGTATACTCTCTGGTTCTTTACGTAAAGTCACGAGTTCAAACCCGGGCTGGGGCGGGAGTTGACTCGGCACATTATCGCTCGTTATGGGGCCAATAAAATCGGCATGTATGTTTGAACTTATTCGCACCGTACATAGCCAACCATGTTAATCGGAGGTGCTGGATAAACTCGCTCCAGGCCATAGGAATGTGTAATGTATCACCACTGGCTCTGGACATGAGCTCATGATGTAGATGCAGAGTAACAACTTTACATTCGGATGAGCAGCAAATCACCGCCATCAGTTTTGACCGCGGTGAAATGGTGAGGGTGGAGTGACATACCAAAGAGCGCACCGGAGCAAGAGGGAGCCAGGTCCTGCACGTTGACCGACACGCCACTGCACACACACGCACAAAAACAAAGATCCCTGTATAGCCTTCCACGGACCGCTGGGGCAAGTGCTGTTAGCGAGCAGCGGCGCTTACGAAGGCCGGCACAGCAACAGGGGTGAGTGGTCAGCGCCACGCCCGACCGCCTTTGTCTCCCTAGCGACGATGTTCACTACACACCGCACCGGGTAGCCATGTAACGCTTGTCGCGCGTGAAAATTTCATTTGTTTGGCGATGTCGGGCGGTGGGGGGTTTTTACAACACAAAACTTGGCCAGATCATTACACGGGGCCCTACCCCACGAAAAACAATCACGAATCAACGCAAACAGGCACTGGGAGGCAGGGAATCGAACCTGGGCCACACTGCTTCTTACTACGGGATGGCACGAGTGCCACCACCACCACCGCCGCCACCACCACCATCACCACCACCGTCACCGCAACCACCACCACCGTCACCACCACCACCGTCACCGCCACCACCGTCACCACCACCGTCACCGCAACCACCACCACCGTCACCACCACCGCCGCCACCACCACCACCGTCACCACCACCACCGTCACCACCACCGCCGCCACCACCACCGTCACCACCACCGTCACCGCAACCACCACCACCGTCACCACCACCGCCGCCACCACCACCACCGTCACCACCACCACCACCGTCACCACCACCACCGTCACTACCACCACCACCGTCACCACCACCACCACCGCCACCACCGTCACTACCACCACCACCACCACCAACGGCACCACCACCGTCACCGCCACCACCACCGCCACCACCGTCACTACCATCACCACCAACGGCACCACCACCACCAACAACGCCACCACCAACGCCACCACCACCGTCACTACCACCGCCACTACCACCAACGGCCCCGCCACCACCACCACCGTCACTACCACCACCACCACCGTCACTACCACCACCACCAACGGCACCGCCACTACCACCAACGGCACCGCCACCACCACCACCAACAACGCCACCACCAACGCCACTACCACCGCCATCACTATCGACGTCACCACCACCGCCACCACCGACACCACCTCCACCAAAACCTCCACCGCCACCCCCACCACCACCACCGTCACTACCACCGCCACCCCCACCACCACCTTGCGAGATTTCCGAATGGATTCTTTTGTCTCGTGGGGGGAAGGGGGGGAAGGGGGGGGGGAAGTAGAAAAGTACGGCATGTCCACGGATCGCGGGCTGGGCGCGAGGCACCTCAGGTGGAAGGACTGCGATCCAATGGAGATGGCGGCGAACAGCAGGGCCAGTGAGAAGCTCTCCGTGCGGCACATGATGCTCGCAAACAGGCACGAGTTACCCAGGGCGACGACCTGAGGGGCAGGGGGTCACAGGGTCACGGGGTCACAAGCACACACGCACATGGGTCAGAGTTCAGCAGGTGACAAGAGGAAATGCCACCACCGCCGCCGACACCACCGCCGCCACCACCACCACCGTCACCACCAATCGCCACCACCAACCACCGCCACAGCCACCACCAGCCACTGCCATAACCGCCACCACCAACAGCCACTACTACCACCAATCACCACCACCACCGCCGCCACAGCCGCCATCACCACCACCACTGCCACCACTGCTACCACCAACCACAACCACCACCGCCACCACCACCAGCACCAACCACCACTGCCACCACCACCAACCACCGCCACAACCAACGCCACGAGGCTACACGAGCAAATATCTTAGGTAAGGGCGCAGCCCTGCGATTGCCTTGCCGACGCCACCGCTGGCGGCCGGCCCCTCCGCTCGCGGCAGCTCCGCAGAGCGCCCCTCTGCTCGAGGGCGTTTCAGTCGACCCTTCCTCGCCGGCCGGCACGCCTAGCATCTACACTTAACCCCGCCACGCGCGGCCAGCCGAACGGAGGCCACCCGAGCCTCGAAACTGACGAGCGGCTCCCTAGGTCGCCGGTTGTTGATCGGAGCGAACCCTCGTTCGCGGGGGGTCAGGGGGCCGCGAAAGTTCATCTCGGGGTCGGTAGCGGGCGCCTCTCGTTAGCGCCGAGCGTCGGCGCTAACGACACGCCGCGGGTGTCACTGGGGGGGTGCGGGGAAGGGGGCCGGGGGGGAGGCGCTCACCTGCATGAGTTTGCGCACAGTCGCCGTGTTCACCCCTGCCAGGCACAAGGTCGGGTCACACAAGGTCGGGTTACTATAGCTCATCGGGATCAATGCGTGGAGAGGAGAGGTTGGGTGGGAAGAAGAAGAAGGGGAAGGAGAAGGAGAAGGAGAGGAAGAGGAAGAGGAAGAGGAAGAGGAAGAAGAAGAAGAAGAGGAAGAAGAAGAGGAAGAAGAAGAAGAAGAAGAGGAAGAGGAAGAAGAAGAAGAAGAAGAAGAGGAAGAAGAAGAAGAAGAAGAGGAAGAAGAAGAAGAAGAAGAAGAAGAAGAAGAGGAAGAAGAGGAAGAAGAAGAAGAAGACGAAGAAGAAGACTGAGATGGACGGGAAGGAGAAGGAGGAGGGAGGGAGCGGAGAGGGAGGGAGAGAGAGACGTGTTTCACCCGAAGCTCCTGGCCTTACCTCTAAAACTTTTATTTTTCTCACCCTTTTTTCGGGATGTATTTTCACCAACTTGCAAGTGTCTCGCTTTATACACAATTTGTGATCAGTTTGTTTATTTGTTTAGACTTCCTTTGTCCTTCTTTCTTTGTTCTTCTCTGTTGTCTCCACTGTTCAGGGCGCGGCTGCGCTCTCTGCAGTGTACAGGTGTCTTTGTTATCCACACAATCCTCCACTTTTATTTGATAGTTGATTTCATAATCACGCACAATCATCCACTTTTATTTGATAGTTGATTTCATAATCACGCTTTTCTTTGTTTTCATTTCCATTTTGAGTTCCTCTGTTCCTCAAGCAATTTTAGAATTTTGTGGTTTTTCGTGTTTTTTTTTATCGTTCCTTTGTCTCGTGTGCTTCCACGTGTTACACGCACCACGTGTTGGCACTGTACCACACCGGCCGGTGTGGTACAGTGCCAACATCCACTTTAAACTCCTCTTGTTTCGTGCTGTGAGCGTGTTGACATTATTTGTTATTTTTATTGGTGTGCTTTTTTTTTCCTCTTGTAAAAAAAACCGAGGGCCTTAAGTAATTTTACCCTCTCCAGGGGAGCTTTGGGTGGACAGCAGTAATAGTAATTATGAGAAGGTGGTCATAACACAGGTTTGACCATATTTATATACATTTTTCTCGTTTCTTGTTTTTTTTGTAAATTTGTTCCCTGGCTTTAGAAAATAGAGAAGTTTGCTTTAGTGGTTGTGTGTGACATCTCACACGAGTGAAGATGTCCACCCGACCCTCAACAACGTACGCGAAAGCTGCCGCGCCTACACAAGGTCGGTCTCTGGGGCCTGCAAGGCGCCCCCAGCAGCAGCAGCAGCAGCTGGAGCCTCCGCGCGAGGCTGGGATCTGGGGCCTGCAAGGAGCCCGCAGCAGCAGCAGCAGCAGCTGGAGCCTCCGCGCGAGGCTGGGATCTGGGGCCTGCAAGGAGCCCGCAGCAGCAGCAGCAGCAGCTGGAGCCTCCGCGCGAGGCTGGGATCCGCTGCCCGGCTTCCACCGATGTCCCCCTCGAAGTCTACGCGGAAGCGCTGGGCGCCATCGTGCCTGGAGGCTCGATAAAGCGCGCCTCCACGGTGAGCGGAAGGGTTGGTCTTCTTCATGGAGTCCGAAAAGGTGGCAAACGCCGCCATGGAGAAGGGGCTGATGGTTGACAATTGGCACCTCACCTTGGAGCCACTGTCGTCGCCGTCGGTACGTGTAATCGTATCCAACATCCCCCTCTACATTCCCGATAATGACATCCAAGATAACCTGGCTTAGTTGGGCACTCTGACTTCCAACCTACAGCAAGGGGCCTTTGGGACTCAAAAATCCTGCCTTGAGGCATGTCTCGTCTTTTAGAAGACAGGTCTACATGCTGGTGCCCAATGGGCAGCTTGAGGAGGGCTCCTTTGTGGTCATGCATGGAGGAAGGGCCCACAGGCTGTTTTACTGCAGGGACGTACTAAAATGCTCGACGACGCGCCCAGTGAGGCGGCCGAGGGCTCCCAGGAAACGCGAGCGGCCAAGAGCACGGAGGAGCCCAAACAGGACCCAACTGACCAAACTACCCGGGGTGACCATAACGAGGACGATGGAGGGCCATCAGTGGAGGGGCAAGTGGCATCACCCAATAAAGCATCGACGAAGGATACCACGACGACTGAAAATCCTCAAAGCCTGGGGGCTGAGGGGGGGAAGCCATGAAGAGGAGTTGGAAGAAACCCTCGGCACAGGAAGTTCAGTGAACCTGACATCTGCTGAGCCGACTGAAGGGGCATCAATATTCTCACAGTCAGAGCTGTAGACCTTTTTAGATGAAGTGCATGGCTCGGAAGAACGAGTGACTGCAGCTCTGTCAAGGTGGCGAAATGTGGAGGAAATTATAACCTCCCTACTCCATGTTGAACGGGACTTCAAGAGACAGGGAAAGTCGTCATCTGGAAAGGAAAGGATCAGGTACTTCCTGGACCAAATAACTACGTAGAAAGAAAACACACCTGGCAATAACTCCACTGACACATAATGCTGCGGATAGCGGCAATTAATATAAATTGGTGTGGAGGTCCACTCAAGAGACACTTTGTGCGCTCTCTCACAAAAGAACACAAAGCCTCGGTGCTCTTTGTGCAGGAGACGCATCTTACAACCAGCGAGGAGGATGAATGGGAAGCGGAATGGAAAGGTGATTTGTTTTTCAGTCACCTTACTCATTATTCTTCAGGAGTGGCAACGTTATTTGCACCGGGGCTTACACCCACCATAGTTAACCAGGTTGAGGTAGTATCGGGAAGAGCCCTCAACATAACGATCAAACTTAATGACGTTTCTGTCCACCTCATAAACATCTATACCGCCCATCAATGATGCGGAAAAACTGATTTTTTTTCAATGAGTTACAGGACCATCTCAAAAACATCCCGAATGACGAGTGTCTGATTTTGGGAGGAGATTTCAACTGCACACTCGATGTCCTCGACGGCACTGGTACCGAGCAGTCCAAAGGCGGTGTCCTGAATACCTTGCGGCACGTGCTCCGCACGGGCAGTCTTGTAGATGTGTGGCGGACGCAACATCCAAAGCAGCGAAGTTTCACCTTTACAAGAACCAGGGCTGACAGAACACTATCACAGTCAAGGATTGACCGGTTTTACATCTCAAAAGACCTTGAAAATAGTGCAGTGTCGTCCAGTATTCAGGCGGCACCACTGGCCGATCATCGCCTAATACTACTTGAAATGAAAATACGAGGGGTCCCAAGGGGATTGGCATACTGGCATTTCAATAATGCCCTTTTGCAAGACCCCACCTTCTCTGATCTTTTTGGGGTCTTCTGGGTGGTGTGGCAGGGAAAGAAAGATCAGTTTAATAGCTTAGCACAATGGTGGGACATAGGGAAAGTACACATTAAAAAACTGTGTCAGTTGTACGCCTGGGGAAACGCAACAAATATTGACCGAGAAATTTGTGAGCTGGAGAACAGGGTCCATACTTTAGAGCACAGGCGGAAGATTGGGGACGATCCAGACCTACTGCAGGAATATGTGGAGACCCTAGAATGTCTACAAGGGTTGCAGAAAGAAAAGGCAAAAGGGGCATTTGTACGCTCTCGTTTTAAAGATGCCCTCGATATGGACTCTAGCTCCACACTTTCCTTCTCATTGGGGAAGCAGAATGGTAGACGCAAAGCCATGGAGTATTTATTTGATGACAAGGGGGTCCTTGTTTCAAACAATAATCAGATAGCTACAACAATAGCACAGTACTTTGGAAATCTCTTCTCTCCAGAGCATATATCCACAGTGGCCCAGAATGAAATCTGGAAGGACCTGCCTACTTTGGGTGAAGAAGACAGGGACCTTCTAGAAGAAGACAGGGACCTTCTAGAAGAAGAGGTCAAACAAAGTGACCTGGACATGGCAGTGAGTGCCCTGGCCAGGAACAAATCCCCAGGGATTGATGGGCTGACGGGGGAGTTTTATCACCATGTTTGGCACTCCATACATAAAGACTACAAAGCCGTTCTGGATGAAGCGGTGGAGATCAACGTGATGCCTCGGTCCTGGAGGAGAGCCGTGCTCACACTGATTCCCGAAAAAAGGCGACCTCAGGCACCTCAAAAATTGGCGTCCAGTCTCAGTGCTGAGCACAGACTATAAGATTCTTGCGAAAGCTGCATCTGCAAGGCTTAAGAGGGTGTTGGCTAAGGTTATTGCCGATGACCAGGCATACACTGTTCCAGGAAGGACCATCCATGATGGGACTTTCCTGGTCAGAGATTTGATCAGTCTCTCGGAGCATTTGAACTTTCCACTTGCCTTTCTCTCCCTTGATCAAGAGAAAGCCTTTGGCAGGGTTGATCACCAGTATTTTCTTGGCACTCTGAAAGCTTTTGGTTTTGGGACCCGCTTCATAGCATTGATTAGTCTGCTGTACAACATGGCCCAGTGTCTGGTTAAAGTTAATGGTGGACTAATTGCTCCTATAGACTTCAAAAGAGGTATCAGGCAAAGGCTGTCCTATGTCAGGACAGCTCTACACCCTCGTTGTGGAGCCTTTTCTGCGTCTACTCCGACGCCGACTCACCGGATTGACTCTAAAGGAGCCCAGTATGAGAGTGACCCTCACAGCGTGTGCCGACGACATCTTCCTCTTCTTACTGAGTTTTGACGACATCGAACGGCTGCACGAGTGCCAAGAGGTCTACTCCCCGCGTGCGGCCTCCTCCTCCTCCAGGATGAACTGGGAGAAGTGCTGTGGGCTGCTTGTTGGGAAGTGGGACGAATCCCGGTTCCCTGAGTTGACCAAGACCAATAACGTGGAGCAAAGAGTGAGAGCGCTTCACCATCTCGGCATGCTCCTGGGGCCTGGAGAAAAACCACTGCAGGAAAATTGGGATCTCCTGGAAGAGAAGGTGAGGAAACGACTGTAGCCATGGGGGCGTCTGCGCAAGTCTCTCACGTTTAGAGGGAAAATCCTGGTGGTGAACCAGTTGGCTGCATCCACCTTGTGGCACCGCTTCTTTTTCCTCACTCCACCCACATACCTCATAGCAAAACTTCAGAGACTGATAGCTGCCTTCTTCTGGTCGCAGAGGAAGCACCGTGTGGCTGCTGGCATCTTGGCCTTGCCACTGCGGGAGGGCGGGCACGGTCTGGTGTGTGTACGGAGCCAGCTCTCTACATTTCGTCTACAAGCCGTACAGAGGTTTCTCTACACGGCCCCATCACCCGTGTGGTGTTCCACAGCATCTTTTTTCCTGAATAACCTCGGGGGCCTTCAGTGCAGCAAGCAGCTCTTCTTCATGGACATTCCAGGTATTCCACTCGCACAGATCCCCCACTTCTACAGGAGTATCCTAGATACATGGGGTTTCCTTGTCACCGCCCGACTTAATACACCCCAGTCGGCATCAGAAATTTGCTCACGAGCCACTGTTACGGAACCCCAACACGGCACTGCCCTCTCTCTTGCGGGCCCTGCCATGGAGAAACGCGTGGTGGACGCACGTCTCACGAGGGTGGGCGATTTGGTGAAACCAGGCACGGAGGGACAGTGGCTTCTCCCTACCGAGAAAGCTGCAATGACCAAGATGCACTCAGTGAGACTCGCCGCAAAACTCGTGAATGAGGTACGAAGGTCCTTCTCAACAGCAGTGGGGAGCGCGCCTGCTGTGAGCGTTGGCGACGAGTCAGCCGGCGGTGGCCCAGTGCCACCAAAGCTGAATGTCGCCCCAGCACGGGAGCACACTCACCTCTCTTCCTCACAGCAGCACGGGGGGCACACCACGGGGAATGACCAGGAGGGGTGCTTCTCAGGTGTAGACCGGTAGAAGCTGTACGCCCAAATGGTCGATTTCCACCATCAACAAATAATAACGTCACGTAAGGGCTACGCTTGGAGGGACGCGATGCCCTGCAGTGATCGCTTGAGGCCTCATTGGGAGCCGTTTTACTCAAATCCATCGTACAAGCGCCACGGTGATCTTAGCTGGAGCATTGCCCATGGGACTGTGACCACGAACACATTCCCTGCACTTTCACAGACACAAATCCTGAATGCGGATTCTGCGGTGAGCTCGAAACAGTGACGCATCAATACGTACACTGCAAAAGCCTAGAATGACTCTATAAGCTGTTACGCAATATTCTACTGAAATTCAATCTTCATTTCTCACCCACAATTCTTATTTATGAATATAGGGGGCACGAGGGTACCAAGGATATCGAGGGGTTGATGAACTTTATCATGAACAACGCCAAACTGGTCATCTATATGGAACGAGGAAAGGGATAGAGAGGAAAGGGATACAGGAGGAGGAACCTACCGAGGCGGATGAGGAGATCGGCGAGGTATCCGCTCAGCATCGCCATGGGGATGGAGACGAGCCAGGGAACGACGTTGAACACCCAGCCCTGCGTGGGCGGCAACCGGGGATTGACAACGGAGCCTCTTGTATACCAGGCGAGGCAGTTAACATCTCGCCACCATGGCGCCCAGTCACGACAGCTCATGCATATACATGCAGCCGCGAGCTACACACACACACGCACACGAGGAGCTACACCCACACACGAGGAGCTACACACACACACACCAGGAGCTACACCCACACACGAGGAGCTACACACACACACACGAGCTATCCTGACACCCACCGGCCCACCCGTTACAGACGGACGGGCGGGCAGGTGGAGGTGACGCATGAACGACGATTTGCCGCGATTGAAAACCCTCGTCTGCGGGCACATGACCGCGACGGCGGGTCGCCAACGTACCTTGGAGTCCTTGAAGGTCTCGTGGAAGTAGGTGGGTAGCCACGACAGCATGATGTAGAAGCAGTTGTTGAGGCAGAAGTGAGCGATGATCACGGCCCTGGAGGAGGGGGGGGGCAGGGGAGGGGACACGGAAAGAGGGCGGCCGCGGTGGTGAGATGTTAACTACCTCGCCTGGTATACAGGAGGTCGTGGTTTCGATCCCGACCCCTGACGCCTGCTTTAACTTTGGAGTTTGCGTGTCACTCTCTATCTCATCATCATCACGGTGGCTAGGAGATGTTAACTACCTCGCCTGGTATACAGGAGGTCGTGGGTTCAATCGCGACCCTGACGCCTGCTCTCTATAGTTGGAGTCGGCGTGTCTCTCGCTCCCCATGGGCGCGTGGATTTCCCTCCGGGATGCTCCGCTTTCCCCCTCCACATTTCAGAATGAACAACGTGAGTATTTGGCCGCAGCTATTAATGTCCACGCGATAAGCCCACTCCGTTGAGCTATCATTTGTGGTGGCCAGGTCGCTTCTGAAAAAGAGCTAAGCTCAGTGGGGCCTTACCTGTTTAAATAAAAAAAATATTTTTTTTTTTTTAAAGGACCGACAGGGTGAAGGGAGCCGTAAAGTGACGAGGTTGTCGTCGAGATGCGAGGAGAGTTGCGAGACCGCCCGTGCTCATGCGCACGCACGTACCACACGCACGTACCACACGCACGTACCACACGCACGTACCACACCGGCGGCTTGGTGAGGATTCTCCCCCACGGCACGGGAGACTTCCCCGGGGTTGTAGGCCACAGGCTGCTGTAGAGCGACTGCATGGCGATGACGTTGCCTGCACGGGCCCACGGGGAGTGAGGGGGGGGGGTGTTGTAAAAATAGAAACCTTTAGACGTGCGGATGAGAAAACACGGTGAGCGAAACTGGTACATTCAAAGGGAATTCAGAGGTAGCTCTGGGATATCCACTTCACAGCAGCAGCTCATGTGTACCATGTGTACCATGTGAACCATGTGTACCATGTGTACCATGTGCGTAGATTCTTTGTAAACAAACCAAAGACAAAGATCCCCCACCCTCGCCGACACGGCACACGAGGATTTGGGGGTGGTCAACACCACGTCCGGCCGCCTTTGTCTCCCCGAGCGCTGATGTTCACACACCGCGGCGACGACGATGGGCGGTGTGGGCGAGATGTTACCTACGTCGCCTGGTATACGGAGAGTCGTGGGTTCGATCCCGACCCTGACGCCTGCTGTATATTTGGAGTTTGCGGTGTCTCTCTCGCCGTGGTCGCGTGGATTTTTCACCGGGTCCTCCGGTTTTCCCCCCCTACACGTTTAGAACGAACGTCGCCACGCGTTTAGAGGATTTGGCTGCCATACATTTCCACGTGATGACAAGCCCGCTTCGTTGAGCTGTCCTTTCTGGTGGCCAGGTCACTTCTGAAAAAGAAGAGCTATGTGATAGCTCAGTGGGGCCTTACCTGGTAAAATAAAAGAAGTAAAATAGAACAGGACTACGGAGTGGTGGCCAAAGGGGGGAACGCGGCGCCACACGGCTGTCCAGGTACGTACGTACGCGCGCTGAACTTCTTTCGCACCGTACGTAGCCAACCGTGCTAATCGGAGGTCCGGGACGAACGCGGCCGCGCGGGGAGCGACGACCGGGCAAACGGCTGTGGCCTACGGCGCGACCGGATCCGACCGTTGGCGTTCACGCACAAGTTGCCGTCCCGGCATAACTCTCCGTCTGATCCCCCCCACGACAAAAAGGGGGACGATGTTTGCTCTCGTCATTAAAAATGAAAAGCCACGTGAATGCAATTGTTTTCTTTTGACATTTCGCCAGATCCTTGAAGCAAATATTTGCAGGGTGGCATGTCGTTTCATCCGTCTGTTGGGATGTGTATGTGTGTGTGTGCGTGTGTGTGTGTCCGTATGAGCGCGTGTGTGTCGGTGTGTGTGTGTGTGCGTGCGTATGAGCGCGTGCCTGTCGGTGTGTGTGTGTGTGAGCGCGAGTGCTGGCTAACAACATTTGCTTAAGGCTATATGGGCGATCTTTGTGTGTGAGTGTGTGTGCGTGAATCTGCAGGTATGTGCAAGTGTGTGAGTGTGTTTGTGTGGTTCTTGGTGTATGGGGAGCGGTGGTGTAGCGGTTAGCGCGCTGCGCTACGAACCCGGCAACCCGGGTTCGATTGCCGCTCACGGCCAACACCAGTTACGATTATCTGGACCGGTTCCTGGGCCACTGGGGAGACAAAGGCGGCCGGGCGTGATGCTGACCACCCACCCCCTCGTGTGCCATACTAGCCTTCATAGGTGCTTGCTAACAGCACTTGCCCCAAAAGTCTGTTAAGGCTACACGGGGGATCTTTGACTTTTCTCTTTTGTGGTTCTTGGTGTGAGTGTGTGCGTGTCGTTCTTGGTATAAGTGTGTGCGTGTCGTTCTTGGTGCGAGTTTGTGCGTGTGCATGTCGTTCTTGGTGTGAGTGTGTGCGTGTGTGCGCGGTTGTTGGTGTGAGTGAGTGTGTGGTTGTTGGTGATGCGTGTGTGTGCGGTTGAGGGTGGGGATCAGTAGTGCAGTGGTTAGCGCACTGCACTAGAAAAACCCGGAGACCCTCTATCGACTCAGCCATAGATGAGCACCATCTACGGTGTGTAAACATCAGCACTGGGGAGACAAAGGTGGCCAAGTGCAGTGAGGGCAGGACCACCACCCCTTCGCACACCATCCAAGCCTTCGTAGACGTTGCTCGCTAACAGCACTTGCCCCTACAGTCCCCGTGGGGCTACACGGGGGGGAGGGAACTTTATCTTTGTAGTTGTTGCGGGTCACCTCTCTTCTGGATGAGAAACCTCCACACGAGGTAGGCCCAGACCATGGAGCTGAGTCCGGTGAGGATGAACAGAGACTCCCACCCATAGGCCTCCAGCAGCAGGTACCCGATACCACCTACCACGAGAGCCCTGTATGCACCAGCACACACACACATAGGGCGGGCATCACCACATCACCATCACCACCAGCACCACATCACCAGCACCACATCACCATCACCACCAGCACTACATCATATCACCACATCACCATCACCACCGGCACCACATCACATCACCACATCACCATCACCACATCACCACATCACCATCATCACCAGCACCATCATCACCAGCACCACATCACCAGCACCACATCACCATCATCACCATCACCACCGGCACTACATCACATCACCACATCACCATCACCACCGGCACCACATCACATCACCACATCACCATCACCACCAGCACCACATCACCACATCACCATCATCACCATCACCACATCACCAGCACCACATCACCATCACCATATCACCATCATCACCATCACCACCGGCCCTACATCATATCACCACATCACCATCACCACCGGCACCACATCACATCACCACATCACCATCACCACCAGCACCACATCACCACATCACCATCATCACCAGCACCACATCACCAGCACCACATCACCATCACCATATCACCACATCACCATCACCACCGGCACCACATCACATCACCACATCACCATCACCACCAGCACCACATCACCACATCACCATCACCACCAGCACTACATCACCAGCACCACATCACCGAAATGACCACCCCTGGGGAATTCCACAGCGAGAGCGAATAGACAGAAAGCGATATGGCCTGCAGTGTTGTGATTTAGAGGGTGAGTGAGCCAGTGGGTGAGTAAGTGAGCGGTTGGGTGAGTGGTGAGCGAGTAGGAGATTGAGTGCGTGAGTATGTTGTTGTGACCTATAGTACGTTGACCGAGTGGGTATTGGAGTGGTTGAGGAGTCGTCGAGTGAGGATCGTGGGGAAAGTCACCACGGCAGTAGCAGTAGAAGAGCTACAAGGAGGCGACTGACCGCCGGTGACCGAGCGACCGGAGCGACTGCAGCCAATCGGGCGTCAGGACGCACGGATTCTGAAGCTTACAAAGCACGCACGCACTGAAGCTATCCGTGGCTGGTTTGTTCCCGATTCGCTCCGCAGTGGATAGAGCACGGCTCACCCGAAGTGCGAGCCGGAGCAGGCGGTGCTGGCGATGAAGGCCCGCTCGCTCTCGGGCACGCGCGAGCTGAACAGGCTCGACATTGAGGGGAAGTGGACCCCTGAGCAACAACAATAACAACATCAACAACAAAGACATCAACAACAGGCTCGTCATGGAGGGGCAGTGTACCAACAGCCTGCGTAGGCCACACACGGGTGCGTACATGTAGATAAGTGTGTGTGTTTGTGTGCGTACGTGTGTGTAGGCGTGCGTGCGTTAACGTGTGTGTGTGCGCGCGTGTCCCGCACCCTGCAGGAAGCCCGTGCAGAAGCGGACGAAGATGAGCTGAGGCAGCGGCTGCTCGCTGAGGTGCGCCACCACAGGCATCATGAGCGTGACCAGCCCCCACGAGCCCATCGACAGGCAGATCATCTTGTCTCCACCAATCCTGGACGACCGGGCGAGAGGTCGTCGTTCAGGGTCAACCAGACCCAACCACAAGGAGCCCCATTCGATGGCAATATCAGCGCTCGCTCGACACGAGGTCGCTTCCGTAAGCAATTGCAGGGCTGCCCCCTTTGCCTGTTATTGCCCTATTCCCTTCCTCTTCCCCCACACCCCCTCGCCCCTCCACTCTGTCCTGTCCCTCTCCTATGTCCTTATCGTGATCCCCCAAGTGCCCTCTGTTACGGTCGCTCATTCCTCGGCCCTTGCACTGCCCCTGCCCAACTAAATCACTCGCTTGTTCTTACCGCTTTTGAGCTTTACTAGAGGGAGCACCTTGAGCTGCTCAAGCGCTCTAGTTAAATATAAAATAAGAAAAAAAAAATTGCGGGCGACGGTCGCTGCTCAGACTCCGACCCCCGTCGCCAAAACCCGGCGGTATGAACCTTGCAGGCCGCCCCGGTCAATACCGCGGTGGTGCGGCGTTAACCCATCGCCGTGAAGCGGTGACAGGGCTTCAGGGGGGCAACTCCGCTCACCTGTCGCTCAGGTGGCCCCCGACGATCTGCGTGAGCGCGTAGCCCCAGAAGAAGCTGCCCAGCATGGTGCCTGCCTGCGCCTTGTCCCAGCCGAAGCGAGCGCTCAGCACCACGGCGCAGACGGCCGGCGCGGCTCGTGCGCAGTACAGCAGGCAGTTCCCGCAGAACAGCACGGCCACCCACAGGCGCAGCTCCTGGCTGCCACGGAGGGAAAGCGAGGGTCCCCCCGCACCCACCGTCAGTTTCAACCACGTCGGAGGCTTCCGCAACCAAGCCCCAACAGAGGGGGGGTTGTTGTTTTGTTTTTTTTTGGGGGTCAGATCGCGTAAATATCAACAATGCGTTGCTCGGCCTGACGAGGCTGGCTGTAGTAATTACCGGCGACACGTCACGGCACTCGGATTGTAAATGTTGTAGCGGCTTTACTCTCCAAACACACAACCGGTGTGCTGAACTAGTAACTAATTGTCACGTTTTGTTCACGTGACAAACCTTATCGCCCCCCCCCCCCCCCCAGCATAGCCTTAGGCGACAGATTGTCGGGGCAAGTGGCGTTAAGCGAGCACGGCAAGCCACGGGGTGGGACGTCTGTGATAAAAGAGCTTTATAGCTCATTGGATTCCTCCTGATGGGTGTGCTAGCACAGCGCCCGGCCACTATTGTCTCCCGAGTGGCGATGCTTTTACACATCGACCCTAGGGGAGGCCCAGGCCCGGGTCAGATCATCGCCACCAGTGTTGGTGTTGGCCACGAGCGGGAATCGAACTCGGGTCGCCGGGTTCGTAGGGCAGCGTGCTATCCGCTGCGCCTCCACTCCCCCCCCCCCACCGACACACACACAGACACACACAGACAGACACACACACAGAGCCACACACACACACACAGATACACACAGAGGCACACATCAATACAACAGAACCCTCCTAAAGAACAGTCTTCGGACTCAGCGTGGCTGCTTCTGTGGATATATAAGCAATGATCATTATTGTTATTACACTCGTAACTGATATAACTCAACGATCATAAACACGAGGACACTTGGCCACACAAAGACAAAGATCGCCCTATAGCCTTAACAGACTATCGCGGCAAGTGCTGTTAGCGAGGAGCACCTATGAAGGCTGGAACGGCGCACGAGGGGGTGGGTGGCCAGCACTACGCCGGGCCACCTTTGTCTCGCCAGTGACGATGTTTTACACCGCACCAGGTGTTCAATTGAGGCTGAGTTGACCTATGGAAGGCACAGGTCCTTTTAAGATAATTGTCACCGGTGTTGGCCATAAGCTGGAATCGAACTCGGGTGGCCGGATTCATAGCGTAGCGCACTAACCACTACGCCACCATTCCCCATGACCCACACACAGACACAAACATAACCGAGACAGAAAGAGGTCACAGATAGAGGAACGTAGGTCAGGGATAACAAATCGGTCTATACGAGCCTGTGGGTCTGTGTGAGTCTATACCTCTTTGTGTTAGCCTATGCATCTAGATGTGAGTTTATGGGTGTCCACGTGAGTGTACGGGTCTCTATGAAAGTCAGTGTGTCCCTATGTCTAAGTCTATCCGTCTCTACATATGTCTATGGGACTCGCTACGCTGTTTGTAGCGTGGCTGAAACCCGGACTCGAACCCAGGCTTATCAACGTTGCCGGTTCAGCTATCTCTGACCTCTGCACCACCCGACTGTGTGACAGATTTTTATTGATTAAATTTTGCATAAATTCATGACGTCGGTCTGTCTCTCCGTTTATAGATAACATCCCGTATAGTCAAGTGTGGTAAAAAAACCATAGGACAACATCATATTCCTCCAGCAGCATTTGTTTAAGTAGCAATAACCATGGACCGGTTTCAATTCATTCTCGCCTCATCAGCAGGGTGTGGCCCATTAAATAAATGCCACTTGGGTTGCCTCGTGTTGTAGCCTTGTGCCAAAATATATAACGTCAGCTCAATGTGAGCCAAGTGATATGCAAATAGTTAATAAATTATCATGAATGGTGGCTGTGACGTTGGCTGGGAGACCCGGTGTGGGCGGGAGGGGTGGGGGCTATTGGGGCGGGGAGCCATAGACTCACACAGAGACCCATAGACTCACACAGAGACCCATAGACTCACACAGAGACCCATAGACTCACACAAAGACCCATAGACTCACACAGAGACCCATAGACTCACACAGAGACCCATAGACTCACACAGATGGCCATAGACTCACACAGAGACCCATAAACTCACACAGAGACTCAGACTCACACAGAGACCCATAGATTCACACAGAAACCCATAGGCTCATACAAAGACCCACAGACTCACACAGAGGGCCATAGACTCACACAGAGACCCACAGACTCAGAAAGAGACCCATAGACTCACACAAAGACCCATAGACTCACACAGAGACCCATAGACTCAAACAGCCCCATAGGCTCACACAGGGCCCTATAGACTCACAACTCGCAGAGACTGCGTTATGATTAAACCAGGTACTCAAACATGGCCCTTCGTCGCCAATAACTTATATGGAGACCAATGGACTCATGGACACCCACAGACCGTCACAGTTAGAGACTTGCATGAAGTGAAAATGTTTAAATAAAATTATATTTATTTACTGTAACACAGGAGCGTGGGGAGGGCAGTAACGCACAACTCCGCACGGATGGGCGCGTGGGGTGCTCACCGTGACCACAGAGTCTTGGTGTCGCTGGCTCCGCGTGGGGCCAGGCTCTTCTCGTCGTCCATCGTGGAGAGCACGAAGGAGGAGGAGGAGGAAGGGGAGCCCAATGGACGATGTTCATAGCCCATGGGTACTGCTGGCGAGGGGGTCTCAGTCATCCAGAGAGCACCTCCTCTATCTCCTCCTCCTCTTCCTCCCTTCTTCTCCTCTTCCTCCTCTTCCTCCTCTCCTCCTCCCCCTCTATCCTCCCTTTTACCGTGTGTGCAGTATCTTGATCTTCGTACGCACCGTGCGTAGCCGACCGTGTTAATCCGAGGTGCTCATTCTCTACTCCGCTGCTTCCATCTCCTGCACCTCCTCCTCTTCTTCCTGCACCTCCTCCTCCTCTTCCTGCACCTCCTCCTCCTCCCCCTGTGACCCCGTCCCTGATCACCACGAGCCTTGAGATGGGGGGAGCCGCCGTCTCATTGGGCAGCAGTGAGCAGGGGAAACCTCGCGGACAGAGACAGAAGCAGAGAAAGATCGTAATCATCATCATCATCAGCAGCAGCAGCAACAACAACCACGGTCTATCCACTGTTGGATGAACGCCTCCTGGAAGCTCAAGCGAGAATCGATGTATTGTTGCTCATCTCCCGTGTACAGCCCCGCAGAGCCAGTGGTGGAAACTCCACGTTACCGTGGCGGGGGTCGAGTCTATCTACAATACAAGCACTTTTGACCTGCCAACGAAGTGGTACTCGTTTTATCGTCCTCCGAGCAAGGCATGATGGGCTGAGTGAACTCCCCTCGCCGCCCCACATGGTGCTCGAACATTGATTAGTGGCTTACAGTGTTAATGTACACATACATAGTGTGTGTGTGTGTGGTATGTAAGTGTGTACACGTTGTTACTATGTATACACATACATAGTGTGTGTACATACATAGTGTGTGTGTGTGGTATGTAAGTGTGTACACGTTGTTACTGTGTATACACATACATAGTGTGTGTACATACATAGTGTGTGTGTGTGGTATGTGTGTACACAGTGTTACTGTGTATACACATACATAGTGTGTGTACATACATAGTGTGTGTGTGGTATGTGTGTACACGTTGTTACTGTGTATACACATACATAGTGTGTGTACATACATAGTGTGTGTGTGTGGTATGTAAGTGTGTACACAGTGTTACTGTGTATACACATAGTGTGTGTACATACATAGTGTGTGTGTGGTATGTAAGTGTGTACACAGTGTTACTGTGTATGTGTGTGTACATACATTGTGTGTGTGTGGTATGTAAGTGTGTACACGTTGTTACTGTGTATACACATACATAGTGTGTGTGTGTGGTATGTAAGTGTGTACACGTTGTTACTGTGTATACACATACATAATGTGTGTACATACATAGTGTGTGTGTGGTATGTAAGTGTGTACACAGTGTTACTGTGTATACACATACATAGTGTGTGTACATACATAGTGTGTGTGTGTGGTATGTAAGTGTGTACACGTTGTTACTGTGTATACACATACATAGTGTGTACATACATAGTGTGTGTGTGTGTGGTATGTAAGTGTGTACACGTTGTTACTATGTATACACATACATAGTGTGTGTACATACATAGTGTGTGTGTGTGGTATGTAAGTGTGTACACGTTGTTACTGTGTATACACATACATAGTGTGTGTACATACATAGTGTGTGTGTGTGGTATGTGTGTACACAGTGTTACTGTGTATACACATACATAGTGTGTGTACATACATAGTGTGTGTGTGGTATGTGTGTACACGTTGTTACTGTGTATACACATACATAGTGTGTGTACATACATAGTGTGTGTGTGTGGTATGTAAGTGTGTACACAGTGTTACTGTGTATACACATAGTGTGTGTACATACATAGTGTGTGTGTGGTATGTAAGTGTGTACACAGTGTTACTGTGTATACACGTACATAGTGTGTGTACATACATTGTGTGTGTGTGGTATGTAAGTGTGTACACGTTGTTACTGTGTATACACATACATAGTGTGTGTGTGTGGTATGTAAGTGTGTACACGTTGTTACTGTGTATACACATACATAATGTGTGTACATACATAGTGTGTGTGTGGTATGTAAGTGTGTACACAGTGTTACTGTGTATACACATACATAGTGTGTGTACATACATAGTGTGTGTGTGTGGTATGTAAGTGTGTACACGTTGTTACTGTGTATACACATACATAGTGTGTACATACATAGTGTGTGTGTGTGGTATGTAAGTGTGTACACAGTGTTACTATGTATACACATACATAGTGTGTGTACATACATAGTGTGTGTGCGTGGTATGTAAGTGTGTACACGTTGTTACTGTGTATACACATACATAGTGTGTGTACATACATAGTGTGTGTGTGGTATGTAAGTGTGTACACAGTGTTACTGTGTATACACATACATAGTGTGTGTACATACATAGTGTGTGTGTGGTATGTGTGTACACGTTGTTACTGTGTATACACATACATAGTGTGTGTACATACATAGTGTGTGTGTGTGGTATGTAAGTGTGTACACGTTGTTATTGTGTATACACATACATAGTGTGTGCACATACATAGTGTGTGTGTGTGGTATGTAAGTGTGTACACGTTGTTACTGTGTATACACATACATAGTGTGTGTACATACATAGTGTGTGTGTGTGGTATGTAAGTGTGTACACAGTGTTACTGTGTACACACATACATAGTGTGTGTACATACATAGTGTGCGTGTGTGTGGTATGTAAGTGTGTACACGTTGTTACTGTGTATACACATACATAGTGTGTGTACATACAGAGTGAGTGTGTGTGGTATGTAAGTGTGTACACAGTGTTACTGTGTATACACATAGTGTGTGTACATACATAGTGTGTGTGTGGTATGTAAGTGTGTACACGTTGTTACTGTGTATACACATACATAGTGTGTGTGCACATACATAGTGTGTGTGTGTGTGGTATGTAAGTGTGTACACAGTGTTACTGTGTATACACATACATAGTGTGTGTACATACATAGTGTGTGTGTGTGGTATGTAAGTGTGTACACGTTGTTATTGTGTATACACATACATAGTGTGTGCACATACATAGTGTGTGTGTGTGTGGTATGTAAGTGTGTACACGTTGTTACTGTGTATACACATACATAGTGTGTACATACAGAGTGTGTGTGTGGTATGTGTGTACAGTGTTACTGTATACACTTACAGTACATGTATTAACAGGATAATTATACACGCGCGGCGTGAGTGTAGGGAACAGGTGACATGAGGGTGACAGGTGACGTGACAGGTGACGTGACAGGTGAGCGTGACAGGTGACGTAACAGGTGACGTGCCAGATGAGTGGGACAGGTGACGTAACAGATGACGTGACAGGTGTGCCAGGTGAGGGTAACAGATGACGTAACAGGTGAGGGTGACAGGTGAGGGTAACAGGTGAGGTTGACAGGTGACGCGTATCCCGCTCCGCTGCTCTGCACATTGACGTCAATGATAATTATCACGTAGTGAGACAGAGACACACAGACACACAGACAGACACACAGCCACAGACAGACACAGACAAACACAGAGACACAAAGACATAGAGACACACAGACAGAAACAGAGACACACACAGACAGACACAGAGACACAGACAAACACAAAGACACAGAGACACAAAGATATAGAGACACACAGACAGACACAGAGACACACACAGACACACAAAGACATACAGACAGTAAGACAGCCACACACACAAAGAGACACACAGACAGATACACAGACAGGCACAGAGACACAGACACACAGAGACACAAAGACACAAAGACAGACACAGAGACACAGACACACAGACAGACACAGAGACACAGACACACAGACAGACACAGATACAGACACACAGACAGACAGACATAGTGACACAAAGACACACACACACAGTGACACAGTGACACACACACGGAGACACACAGTGACACACACACACGGAGACACACAGTGACACACACACAGTGACACACAGTGACACACACACGGAGACACACACACGGAGACACACAGTGACACACACACACAATGACACACAATGACACACACACACGGAGATACACAGTGACACACACACAGTGACACACAGACACACGGAGACACAATGACACACACACACGGAGACACACAATGACACACAGACACACGGAGACACACAGTGACACACAGACACACGGAGACACACAGTGACACACACACGGAGACACACAATGACACACACACACGGAGACACACAGTGACACACACACACGTACAACGAGACAAGTGACACACGGATTGAGATTGACACGACACGCACAAAGGTATCCTCACCTGTGCGCTACCGTGGCGGAGGGGGGGTCGACGTCTGTGTGTGTCTCACTGTGTCCGTCTGTCTGTGTCTGTCTGTGTGTCTGTCTGTGTGTCTGTGTGTGTCCCTGTGTGTGTCCCTGTGTCTGTGTGTCCGTCTGTCTGTGTCTGTCTGTGTGTGTCTGTGTGTGTCCCTGTGTCTGTGTGTCTGTCTGTGTGTCTGTCTGTGTGTCTGTCTGTGTGTCTGTCTGTGTCCCTGTGTGTCTGTGTGTCTGTGTGTGTCCCTGTGTCTGTTTGTCTGTCTGTGTCTGTCCCTGTGTGTCCCTGTTTCTCCCCGCGTCTCTCCACTTCCTCGGCGGCCGTCACGTCAGCGGCGCACTTGGAGAGACGCCACGTCACCACGTCACGACGTCATCACGTCACTACGTCTCCACGTCCCCACGTCATCACGTCACCACGTGGGGAGAGTAAATTTATACTCAAGTGGGAGAGGGACCAGGGTTAGAGCAGTTAAATAAGTCAGAGAGGGGGCGGGTGAATGGAGCGAGAAGAGCGCAACCTGCACGTACAGCAGAGACGCTGAGAGTAAAAGGGCAACATGATTGTTGCCAAGATGGATGATTCAAGTGTCATTTATTAGGTATAGCCCTGTGAGCCATGCGGCTCTTAAATCTTAAAGCGACAACGCGCAACAGAAACATCCTGGAATAAACCAGCAAATCTTCCAGTGCATGGTGTGAGTGAGTCAGTGCATGATGTGAGTGAGTCAGTGTATGATGTGTGAGTGAGTCAGTGCATGGTGTGTGAGTGAGTCAGTGCATGGTGTGAGTGAGTCAGTGTATGGTGTGTGAGTGAGTCAGTGCATGGTGTGAGTGAGTCAGTGTATGATGTGTGAGTGAGTCAGTGTATGGTGTGTGAGTGAGTCAGTGCATGGTGTGAGTGAGTCAGTGTATGGTGTGTGAGTGAGTCAGTGCATGGTGTGAGTGAGTCAGTGTATGGTGTGTGAGTGAGTCAGTGCATGATGTGTGAGTGAGTCAGTGCATGGTGTGTGAGTGAGTCAGTGCATGGTGTGAGTGAGTCAGTGTATGGTGTATGAGTGAGTCAGTGTATGATGTGTGAGTGAGTCAGTGTATAATGTGTGAGTGAGTCAGTGCATGGTGTGACTGAGTCAGTGCATGGTGTGAGTGAGTCAGTGCATGGTGTGAGTGAGTCAGTGCATGGTGTGAGTGAGTCAGTGCATGGTGTGAGTGAGTCAGTGCATGGTGTGAGTGAGTCAGTGCATGGTGTGTGAGTGAGTCAGTGTATGGTGTGAGTGAGTCAGTGTATGGTGTGAGTGAGTCAGTGCATGGTGTGAGTGAGTCAGTGCATGGTGTGAGTGAGTCAGTGTATGGTGTGAGTGAGTCAGTGCATGGTGTGAGTGAGTCAGTGTATGATGTGTGAGTGAGTCAGTGCATGGTGTGTGAGTCAGTGTATGATGTGTGAGTGAGTCAGTGTATGATGTGTGAGTGAGTCATTGCATGGTGTGTGAGTGAGTCAGTGTATGATGTGTGAGTGAGTCAGTGCATGGTGTGTGAGTGAGTCAGTGTATGATGTATGAGTGAGTCAGTGCATGGTGTGAGTCAGTGCATGGTGTATGAGTGAGTCAGTGCATGATGTGTGAGTAAGTCAGTGCATGGTGTGTGAGTGAGTCATTGCATGGTGTATGAGTGAGTCAGTGTATGAAGTGTTAGTGAGTCATTGCATGGTGTGTGAGTGAGTCATTGCATGGTGTGTGATTGAGTCATTGCATGGTGTATGAGTGAGTCAGTGTATGAAGTGTGAGTGAGTCATTGCATGGTGTGTGAGTGAGTCATTGCATGGTGTGTGAGTGAGTCAGTGTATGATGTGTGAGTGAGTCATTGCATGGTGTGTGAGTGAGTCAGTGTATGATGTGTGAGTGAGTCAGTGCATGATGTGTGAGTGAGTCAGTGTATGATGTGTGAGTGAGTCAGTGCATGGTGTATGAGTGAGTCAGTGCATGGTGTGAGTGAGTCAGTGTATGATGTGTGAGTGAGTCAGTGCATGGTGTGTGAGTGAGTCAGTGCATGGTATGAGTGAGTCAGTGTATGATGTGTGAGTGAGTTAGTGCATGGTGTGAGTGAGTCAGTGCATGGTGTGAGTGAGTCAGTGCATGGTGTGAGTGAGTCAGTGCATGGTGTGAGTGAGTCAGTGCATGGTGTGAGTGAGTCAGTGCATGGTGTGTGAGTGAGTCAGTGTATGGTGTGAGTGAGTCAGTGTATGGTGTGAGTGAGTCAGTGCATGGTGTGAGTGAGTCAGTGCATGGTGTGAGTGAGTCAGTGTATGGTGTGAGTGAGTCAGTGCATGGTGTGAGTGAGTCAGTGTATGATGTGTGAGTGAGTCAGTGCATGGTGTGTGAGTCAGTGTATGATGTGTGAGTGAGTCAGTGTATGATGTGTGAGTGAGTCATTGCATGGTGTGTGAGTGAGTCAGTGTATGATGTGTGAGTGAGTCAGTGCATGGTGTGTGAGTGAGTCAGTGTATGATGTATGAGTGAGTCAGTGCATGGTGTGAGTCAGTGCATGGTGTATGAGTGAGTCAGTGCATGATGTGTGAGTAAGTCAGTGCATGGTGTGTGAGTGAGTCATTGCATGGTGTATGAGTGAGTCAGTGTATGAAGTGTTAGTGAGTCATTGCATGGTGTGTGAGTGAGTCATTGCATGGTGTGTGATTGAGTCATTGCATGGTGTATGAGTGAGTCAGTGTATGAAGTGTGAGTGAGTCATTGCATGGTGTGTGAGTGAGTCATTGCATGGTGTGTGAGTGAGTCAGTGTATGATGTGTGAGTGAGTCATTGCATGGTGTGTGAGTGAGTCAGTGTATGATGTGTGAGTGAGTCAGTGCATGATGTGTGAGTGAGTCAGTGTATGATGTGTGAGTGAGTCAGTGCATGGTGTATGAGTGAGTCAGTGCATGGTGTGAGTGAGTCAGTGTATGATGTGTGAGTGAGTCAGTGCATGGTGTGTGAGTGAGTCAGTGCATGGTATGAGTGAGTCAGTGTATGATGTGTGAGTGAGTTAGTGTATGATGTGTGAGTAAGTCATTGCATGGTGTGAGTGAGTCAGTGTATGATGTGTGAGTGAGTCAGTGTATGATGTATGAGTGAGTCAGTGCATGGTGTGAGTGAGTCAGTGCATGGTGTATGAGTGAGTCAGTGTATGATGTGTGAGTGAGTCAGTGTATGATATGTGAGTGAGTCAGTGTATGAAGTGTGAGTGAGTCAGTGCATGGTGTATGAATGAGTCAGTGCATGGTGTGAGTGAGTCAGTGTATGATGTGTGAGTGAGTCAGTGCATGGTGTGTGAGTGAGTCAGTGCATGGTGTATGAGTGAGTCAGTGTATGATGTATGAGTGAGTCAGTGCATGTTGTGTTTGAGTCAGTGTATGATGTATGAGTGAGTCAGTGTATGATGTATGAGTGAGTCAGTGTATGATGTGTGAGTGAGTCAGTGCATGATGTGTGAGTGAGTCAGTGTATGATGTGTCAGTGAGTCAGTGTATGATGTGTGAGTGAGTCAGTGCATGGTGTGAGTGAGTCAGTGCATGGTGTATGAGTGAGTCAGTGTATGATGTATGAGTGAGTCAGTGCATGTTGTGTTTGAGTCAGTGTATGATGTATGAGTGAGTCAGTGTATGATGTATGAGTGAGTCAGTGTATGATGTGTGAGTGAGTCAGTGCATGGTGTATGAGTGAGTCAGTGTATGATGTGTGAGTGAGTCAGTGCATGGTGTGTGAGTGAGTCAGTGCATGGTGTGTGAGTGAGTCAGTGTATGATGTGTGAGTGAGTCAGTGTATGGTGTGTGAGTGAGTCAGTGTATGATGTGTGAGTGAGTCAGTGCATGGTGTGTGAGTGAGTCAGTGTATGGTGTGTGAGTGAGTCAGTGTATGATGTGTGAGTGAGTCAGTGTATGATGTGTGAGTGAGTCAGTGCATGGTGTGAGTCAGTGCATGGTGTATGAGTGAGTCAGTGTATAATGTGTGAGTGAGTCAGTGCATGGTGTATGAGTGAGTCAGTGTATGATGTGTGAGTGAGTCAGTGCATGGTGTATGAGTGAGTCAGTGTATGATGTGTGAGTGAGTCAGTGTATGATGTGTCAGTGAGTCAGTGCATGGTGTGTGAGTGAGTCAGTGTATGATGTGTGAGTGAGTCAGTGTATGATGTGTGAGTGAGTCAGTGTATGATGTGTGAGTGAGTCAGTGTATGATGTGTGAGTGAGTCAGTGTATGATGTGTGAGTGTGTCAGTGCATGGTGTATGAGTGAGTCAGTGCATGGTGTGAGTGAGTCAGTGTATGATGTGTGAGTGAGTCAGTGCATGGTGTGTGAGTGAGTCAGTGCATGGTATGAGTGAGTCAGTGTATGATGTGTGAGTGAATCAGTGTATGATGTGTGAGTGAGTCATTGCATGGTGTGTGAGTGAGTCAGTGTATTATGTGTGAGTGAGTCAGTGTATGATGTATGAGTGAGTCAGTGCGTGGTGTGTGAGTGAGTCAGTGCATGGTATGAGTGAGTCAGTGTATGATGTGTGAGTGAGTTAGTGTATGATGTGTGAGTAAGTCATTGCATGGTGTGTGAGTGAGTCAGTGTATGATGTGTGAGTGAGTCAGTGTATGATGTATGAGTGAGTCAGTGCATGGTGTGAGTGAGTCAGTGCATGGTGTATGAGTGAGTCAGTGTATGATGTGTGAGTGAGTCAGTGTATGATATGTGAGTGAGTCAGTGTATGAAGTGTGAGTGAGTCAGTGCATGGTGTATGAATGAGTCAGTGCATGGTGTGAGTGAGTCAGTGTATGATGTGTGAGTGAGTCAGTGCATGGTGTGTGAGTGAGTCAGTGCATGGTGTATGAGTGAGTCAGTGTATGATGTATGAGTGAGTCAGTGCATGTTGTGTTTGAGTCAGTGTATGATGTATGAGTGAGTCAGTGTATGATGTATGAGTGAGTCAGTGTATGATGTGTGAGTGAGTCAGTGCATGATGTGTGAGTGAGTCAGTGTATGATGTGTCAGTGAGTCAGTGTATGATGTGTGA